GGCATTGAAGTTGCAAGATCAAAACATGGAATTTTTATCTCTCAAAGGAAGTATGTCTTGGATCTCCTTCAAGAGATAGGGAAACTTGGAACAAAGGCAATCAACACCCCTATTGATCATAACCATAAAATCAATGCATTAGAAGGTGAACCAGTAAAGGATATTGGGAGATATCAAAGACTTGTGGGTCGGCTGCTATACTTGTGTATGACAAGACTAGACATTTCCTATGCAGTAAGTGTAGTAAGTCAATACATGCATGCTCCACGAGTCTAGCTTTGGGAGGTAGTTGACAAGATTCTTGCTTATCTGAAGGGACACCCAGGCAGAGACATATTGTTTACTGATCATGGACAGTTGAAACTAGAGGCTTATACAGATGCAGATTGGGTAGGATGCCTTGATGACAGKAGATCAACYTCAGGAGTGTGCACCCTTGTTGGGGGTAACCTTGTCTCATGGAAGAGTAAGAAACAAACAGTGGTGGCAAGATCAAGTGTTGAAGCCGAATACGGGGCCATGGCACATGGAGTTTCAGAACTTCTCTAGATCCGTTCCCTATTAGAAGAAATTGGTGTATAGGTAGAAGAACCTATGATGATATACTGTGATAATTAGGCAGCAATTAACATTTCCCATAACCCAGTCCAGCATGACCGAACTAAGCACATTGAAGTGGATAGACATTTTATCAGAGAAAGGGTAACTTCTAACCCAGTCCAGCATGACCGAACTAAGCACATTGAAGTGGATAGACATTTTATCAGAGAAAGGGTAACTTCTGGAGAAGTTTGTCTTCAATACATTGCTTCTGATCTACAGTTCGCTGATGTTCTCACAAAAGGTGTTGCAAGGAACAAGCTGGAGCATGATCTATGCAAGTTGGGAATGTGTGACATTTACTCTCAACTTGAGGGGGAGTGTTGAGTTGGTCCGAGTTGTTTTTTATTTAGTTAGGAAGTTGTTGGGCTTTAGGCCCATTAGTTTATGTTTTTTCAAGTTGTGATTGTTCAGCAATATTAGTAGCCACCCTACTAAGGGCATCCTTGTAATATCTCATCCTTTAAGTTAAGTATAAATATAATGAGAGGTAGGCGGCTAGGGTCAATTCTGAATCCTGGTTGACTTCCTACTCTTTTCTTCTTCTCCTTTCTTCTCTACTGCTGAAATCTTCATCTTCCCCCTCTTTCCTTTCACAAGAAACTCGACTAAGTCTGCAATTAGTTATTTCTACTCTCTTATTTTGGGGGAAATTGGACCTTTCCAAACTACTTTAACTGGAAAATTAGCCAAGGGGTAGTGGAAGCCAAAGCAAAAAGAAAGAATGTCCAAGAGAAAGACTCAATAGCATTGGTAGTCCAAACTCTACAATCAGGTCTTATGGAATTTAGAAAGACTCCCTGCAAATACTCAAATAAGTTCCAAGATCAATTGCACTTCACACTATGGCCTCTCCGAAGTCCAATGTCCCAGGCAAATCTTGAATTAGATATGGAAACACAATATGGAATTGAAATGTTTGGTTGCATGACAGAGAGAGGTTGGGAAGTTTGAGCTATGGAGGCAAGGTCTTCACCATAGATCTTTCCACGATCTTATTTTATCCCTGCAAGAAACATCATACCATTCCTCCTTGTCTGTGCCTACTGGAACCATCACCAAAGGGAAAATGACATAAGACTAGTTGTCACCCCTCCTCATTATACCTTTTCTCTGATAGGTTCTATTGAGCTAAGTAGCCAACTCCTATTGCAAATGCTCTCTGTTTGATCATTGACTCTGTTCATTTGATCTTTGAAAACCCTGAATTCCTTTAAATGCTTCAATCTTGCCCCCAACAAAAGATGATCTGATATAGATCCTTTGGAATAAAAATCAAGGAATTTAATTCTCAATCATTTAAAGTGTGGCACAGATGAGGGTTCTAAACCACCTGGTCCCACACTAAGCCCCTCTATTTTTTTGGTGGTAAATAAGGTGTTTAAGAGAATCTCGAATAAAGAGGGATTTATGACCCAAGAAAAAAACAAAAATCCCCAATAGGATATAAAAAACACATTTCATCTCGCTCCAAGTAACAAAAAGCAGCCTCAAGCACAAAGGCAAAGCATAAAAACAATCCAATACTTGTCACCAAAACCAACATTTGCATCCGAAGCTCCATGCAATCCCACATTTTATCCGAAGCTTCATGCAATCCCACATTTCACTCCACCTTGACACATGCCAAAACAAACAAGCCCACATGCTGGTTTTCTACCCCCATCACCTCTCCCATTCCCCTAAAAATCCTAGAAGATCCATTCACTGTCTTGGTTAGAAGGCCAAAACCTTGGAAAATTCAGTCTCTGTTTTCTTCTTGCCTTTTCCTCTTGTCAGTTGTCACTTCTGGTTCCTCCACCCAGAACTCTCGAGACTGCTTTCTTTACAATGCACCTCATCAGTTCTAGTGATCAACTCCCTACTGGTCAAATGCTTACCCATCCTTTTTTATTCCAAATGTCTAAATGTGGCCTTGACATTCTCCTCACCTTCCAGAAAGAATTATCAGAGTGACCTAACCACAAGCCTTGTCCACTTGAAACTCCTAGCTATCACTCCATCCAGAGACAATTCAGTTCCTCCAACCTCCCTTCTATGATTTGTTGTAGGATAATAAATTTCTATGCATTGGAAGCACAGATATGCTTGAGTAATTTTCATCTTGTATTTTCTGCTTCCTTTTGGAAATGGATAATTAGAATGGCTGATGGATATAAATCCTATGTTTTGGTATGATCGCCTGTGTAAATAGTCCAGGTTGATGTGTATGCCAGTGTAATATTTGGTACAAGCAGCATACAGATAAAATTTATGTTATACTTTTCCTAGGTGCAACTTGAGACCATGGTTCAAGATATTGACATGCATTATACCAAAAAATGGGTATCATACATATTGATTGGTCAATACATCTTTTTTTTTTTTTTCAGCCTGATAATTGTCAGATAGGCTGATGAGGTTGTGTTCTATCATCACAAACATTCAAAAACCCCAAACCTTCTCTATTTCATCTCTCGGCAGCCTTCGAAACCGATATGATACTCCCCATATAGGTTTGAGGCAAATGATTTATTTCTTGTTGTGAAATCTGTCAATGTTCTGATGAAGAATGCAATGAGTATCTATATTCGGTCATCTCATTCACCAAAACTGTGCATTCATGTTTTTCTGCAGAATTTTACTGTTCACTTCATTGTAATATGATTTTCAGCAATATGGTTCTGATTACCTTTACCGACACTATATTCTTCATTTTTCACATTCAACCAGAGACATCAATGCCTTGGTTTGTTCTTCTACAATGAGCTGCTGCACATGTTCTATAGGCTCAGGATATGTGACTACAAGAATGCTGCTCAACATGTTGAGAGATTGGATGCTGCTGTGAAGGCTGATTTGCAGCAGGTGCAACATATCCAGGGCTTGATCACAGAGATAAATAACATAAATCGGAGCCTCTCTCGGTCTGACTTACATCCTAAGGAAAGATCAGCCCTGTTCCAAAAACAAAGTCAGCTTCAAGAGCAGCTGAGAAATATAACTGGATTGAGTTCAACCGGCAATGATTCTATGGAACTGCCTCATTTTGAAAAAGTGAAACAGAGATGGGGAGATAAGCTAGAGCTAGCACCTCCTCCGATAGATGGAGAATGGCTACCAAGGAGTGCTGTCCATGCACTGGTTGATCTTATGGTAGTCATATTTGGGCGTCCGAAAGGGTTATTTAAAGAGTGTGGAAGGCGTATTCAATCTGGATTGCATGTGATCCAAGGTTTATTTCTTTTCTTTTTTCCTTTTCCCCATTCCCTCTGGGCCACTTATATATTCCATGGATTTGGTTTGTCTTTATTGGTTTATTTGGTTGAGTTCAATATTTAAGCTTATAACTGAAGTTAAATCTCATGCTCATGTTTAATTTGTCATATTATACATTCCATGCAATTCCCCCCCCACCCCACACACACACACACTCCCCTAAATATAAAGTTCCATTTTCTGTAAATACAGCCTGTTGTGTGAGCTTAACTGGATGGTTGATTTGAGAGGTGAGATGGAAGGTACTAAAACTTAAGAATGGTAAAATGGTGGACAGAAGCCTGAGAATGAATTCTGGACCAGCTGGAATAGGTTGCATATTCCTCAATACCAGTGTATGCATGTTTCCAGCTTCCAGTGGTCCCATTGGAGGTTCCAACTCTACAGAAACCACTTTTAGAGCCCCTCCACATGGTGGTAGGTATCTGAAAACGAAATATATTTTCTTATACTAGGGTACTCCATGAATGCAATAAAAGGACTCAAAACATGAATAGTCCATTGGCCATGACAGGCTGGCTGTTAGTTGGCTGCAGAAGGAAGACTCAAGTCTGTGGAAATTCTTAAATGAGAAAAAGAAAGTTAACCAGCTAACTCAGAACATGGAAATTCAGTTTCAGTGGTCCAAGAGGAGTGCTAACTCTGTGGCAGATTCTTTGGCCAAACAAGGGGTGGGAAGAGTTAATCTCTTTTGGGCATTGCTGTAATTTGTTTTCTAATTTTAGGGAGGGTTAAGTGATTTTACCTCTCCCTGTTGTGACATTCTCTTTTCTATTCTTCTTAATAAAAGTTTCTGTTATCAATCAAAAAAAAAAAAAAAAAGAAAAAGAAAACATGAATGGTCCATTGTACTTGAAGCATCTCATCTCATCTCATCTGAACTCAAATCAACTCAGCTAATCCTTGTCCCAAGTTTATGTGGTCGGCTACATGAATTCTGTTCTGCCATTCTGCTTTGTTCAGTGCCATACTCGTTAAATTATTATCCCTTAAATTATTTTGCACTACTTCAACCCAAGTCCTTTTTGGTCTGCCCTTAACTCTTCTAGACCTTTTCAACATGTAATGTATCACTTTGTCTTCCCTATGCTTTAGTTGGTTTTCTCTGCATGTGCCCAAGCCATCATAAATCTACTTTCCCTCATTTCATCACCCATTGGAGCCATTCCTAGGTTCCTTCAAGTAAGTTCATTTTTGATCTTTTATCCTTTCTATTTTTTCCACTCATCCATCTCGATATTCACAATTCTGTCACTGAATTTCTGGATATGTTATTTCTTGACTACCCAACACTCATACAACATAGCTTGCCTTATAATTATGTTTTAGAAATTTCCTTTTAGCCTAAGTGGTATTCTCCTATTACAGATGACTATGGATGCACTACTCTGTTTTGCCTATTTTGCTCTAGTTCCAAGAGCAACATCCTCCTTAAGTTCGCCCTTATTATGGATTATCAAACCAAGGTAACAACAGTGGTCACATTGAGATATTTCTTGCTCTCCAATCCTAAGTGTACCCTCATTTCTGGCTATTATTAAATTCACATTCCTATTTTCTGTTTTAATCTACTTACCACAAAACCTCATCTTTTGATGCTAAATGAAATGAGGGAATCCTTGGGAAGTTTGCATTTTGGATTAGCTGGATCCTTGGGGTGTTGAATCTTTAGGAAGATGATCAGCAAGGAGCAAGGTCTGGGATTGGAATTTTTTTTAACCTGTATGGTGGCAGCACTGTAACTAGTTAGTATTTTTTTTATTGATAACCATGTATTTGTATTTATTGAGAAGAATGAATTTCTTTCTTCCCATAAAGACCAACATACAATCGCCCTAATACACCTCCACATGATCCTTCCTCTTTTCATTGGTTAGTTGCAGTAAGAGGGAGAAAACAGGCTTTGCCCATTCATTGGGGGGTTCCAACTACACGCAAAAAGGGAGAAAACCTATTCCCATATAGTTTTAGCAAAAAGGCAAGATAGCATTATGTGGTAACCAGTTTCCCCATCAACTTTGCAAAGAGTACACCTATGTGGGGATAAACAAGTTTTGGATTTCTTTCTTGGAAACCTATCACTTGCGTTAATCCTTTCCAAGGAAGTTTCCCAACAAAATCTCCCAACTTGAGGAGGAATGGACATACACCAGACCTCTTTAACAAGGAAGGACAGACCAGGAAGAGCAGCTGAGCAGGTGGCTGAGTTAAGGTTTTAAAAAAACGAGGCACAAGTGAAGGGACCCAAGGGAGAGGGGGTGACTAGAAGCAAGCGGCAAGGTGGGCTGGGGAATGGGAATATTAAGAAAAGGAATATGACATTATTGGGGAAATAATGGTTATGGAGATTTCCATTAGAAAGGGATAAACTATGGGCAAGGATAGTGGTTAGCATTCATGGGCTGGAGAGTAATGGCTGGGATCCGGAAATCCTGGCAAGGGCCACAAGAACTTCTCCTTGGAAGGCAATCCATAATCTCCTTCCAGTCTTCTCTCAATGGACCAAGTATGATTTGAATTCAGGTGACCTTATTAAATTCTGGGAACAGACTTGGGTAGGGGATTCTCCTTTGTCAAGCCAATTTCCATCATTGTATGCTCTCTCTGACCTTAAGAATGAGCTTATTTCTTCCTTTCAGTCCCTTCCGATACTTCCTCTGGTTTTGGATGGAATTTGAATTTGAGAAGGGCTGTTGGTGACATTGACTTAGAAGAAACTATGTCCCTCTTGGCAATCCTTGAAAATGTGTTTCTGAACCCCCAAAAGGAAGATTGCAGAATATGGATCCCATCCCCCTCGGGATCTTTCTCTTGTGCTTCTTTCTTTCAGTCCCTTTCTCAGCATCCTACTTCCCTTGGGATGCCTTTCCTTGTTAAAGAAATTTGGTGCAAGCCTATTCCACCTCGGGTTGGGAGTTTTTGCTGGGAAACTTTCTGGAAAGAATAAACACTTGTGATCTTCTTCAAAGAAAAAGACCCAAGACTTGTCTTTCCCCGCACCGGTGTGTTCTTTGCAAAGCTGATGGGAGAGACTGGGTACCACTTATTAGTGTCTTGTCATTATGCAACAACTATTTGGGCTTGGGCTTTGTCTATCTTTTGGGTGTAGTTGGATCCCCCCTTCGAATGCACAGAGTTTATTTTTCCCTCTTTTTTCAGTTGGCATGCAAAGAGGGGTAGGATCATGTGGAGGAGTGTTAGGGCTGCTGTATGTTGGTCTTTGTGGGAAGAAAGAAACTCCAGAATCTTCTCGGAAAAGGAGAGGGAAGCTGAGAACTTAATGGAGATTATCCACTTAAGGGTAGTGCACTGGCTGAAATCCATGGATTTGTTTTCAGACTTTTCTGTGGATATGCTGTTGAGAAATTGGAAAGAAATAGCAAAATCAGTCCAGGTCAAGAGGGTCATTAGTCCTTGGATCCCCCCTTCTGCTGGGTATATAAAGTTAAACTTTGATGGCAGCAGCTTTGGGAATCCAGGACAATCAGGAATTGGAGGGGTTTTCAGAAATGAGGAAGGAAATACTATAGCCCTTTTCTCTGGTCCAATTGGAGAGGGTGATTCTCTCAGGGCTGAGATATCAGCAGCCCTGGAAGGGATCCAAAGAGCAAGAGAACTGGATATTAGGAGGCTGATTCTTGAAGGAGATTCGGAGATAGTAGTAAGTTGGTTAAAGGAAGACAAGCCTGGGTTGTGGAAATACAACAATGAGAGGAAAAAATTTAAATGGCTGGCAAAAGATATTGAAGTTAAGTACAGCTTGGTTAAAAGAACTGCAAATGCCTTTGCTGACGGGCTAGCTAAGCAAGGGGTGTATAGGGCTTCATTGTTTTGGGCTTCTTTCTAATTTTGTTTTGTGCTTGTGGGGGATTTAAGACAGTTTACCTGCCTCTGTTTGATTGTAATACTTCCTAATTAATTCCAATGAAATTCTGTTATTGATAAAAAAAAAGAAATCTATGGACATTTTAAACCATGCCAAAAGTAGATCATACATAGAAAACATGGAAAAAATCCTATGTTTTTACCCCACATCTCTTATAGTGAGAGTCTGTTAACAGCTTTTAAGGATTGTCCTTTATTAGAGAAACTTCTATTATTCCATCTTTATTGATAATTCTGACAGTGCTAGATGCTAATATTTTCACAGCTTCTATTTTTCAATTCTTCCATACTGTCTATTAGATGGCAACTCTCATACATTTCCATGGAATCTTTCCCCTTCCCCTTCTTGGTGAGAAGAATGAAGGCTGGAAGAGTGTATTAATGTCTTGTGGTGGGGTCCACCTGGCACAAAAAAAAAATCATTCACAAATACTAGCAGCAGATGGACATGAGATTATTAAATAAAATGTGGACTCACAACTTGCCTACAAAAAAGCATGTTTTAATCTTTTTGTGATACACCTCCTAAACAACACCCCTTATCTTTGGGGGTGTTGAGCAACAAAGTCTTTGAATGTTGGCTTTCGCTTCTCTAGATGACTGTCTTCTTTGGACTTCTATCTATAAAATAAACCAGCTTATTCTTTACTTGTGAGATGATATAGATAAGTATTTTCTGCAGCCAAAGAGACTGACTTGCTGTGTCATGTGCAGAGGAGTTGGTGAAGTTGGGGATCACTGATGGTATGAGAGGTTAGTTTCCCATTCCCATATCATGATTGACAGTTCTATGTCATCCGACTCTGCCATCCTATTGTATGCAAAGGGAATATGAGCCATCTTTCCTTCTTGTATCTACCAGGCTAAAATAAATGCAACAATCAAAAACTTGGTATTATTGAGGGACCTAGAGTGTTTTGACACATGATCCTCTAAAATTTGAGGCTTTTGCGTTTCTCATCTTTTTCATGTCAGGACTCAAGACAAGCTTTACAATTTTAGAATAACCAACACTGGTTTCACAAAAACTTCTGTTGTGCAGAAGTAGATTTGCAGCATTCGGCCATCTGGATGGCAGGGGTGTATCTGATGCTTCTAATGCAATTTCTGGAAAACAAAGTTGCTGTGGAGCTAACACGGTCAGAATTTGTTGAAGCACAAGAGGTATGTGATAGTGATATGCTCCCAGAACACTGGTTTGCATTTGGTCCATATTCCCCCCTTTGTGGTTGAGTCATTATTATCATAGTAGTATAGTACTATGCTGGTTTTCACTGTTAGGCGAGAGCTTAGATCCATTATGATGGATTTAGAATCACTTTCTCTCGGATTCAAATACGTGTAAATTGCTTGGCTGATTCACTGACCAAACAATGGGTGAACAGGGTTCATTTGTTTTATTGTCACTTACACATAGAAAGCATGTAAATAATAAGGAAATGGATGAGGTGAATAATGCCAGCCTAAGCATTGTGGGGTTTTTCATGCTTGGCATGCTTGTAAATATTTAATCTTCCTATTTAATAAAATCATGCCAATTACTAAAATCTATTATTGAATTTTTTATAGAATTCTGAAGCTTTAAACGTATGTGTAAGAAATCTATATTTGTGGGTCTGGCCTTTTCTTTTCTGATTTAACCTTGTTTTTGAAGGAAAGTAAAAGATGTGATAACTTGGTCTATAGCATATGAGAAAAGACTAATGGGTTCTCATTTATCCAATGTTTTAATAACTCAATTCAACTCAGTCTTAATACCAACTATTTGGAGTTGGCTACACAATTACTGTTCGCCATTCTGCTCTATCTGACAAATTATAGCCTTAATTCATTTTTTATCACTTCTGACCACGCTTTCTTTTGTCTTCCCTTGGTTCTTTTAGAGCCTTCTACTTGTACCAATTAACTCCTCACTGCTGCAGTCACTGATTGCCTATGCACATGACTAAACCATCTCAACTAACTCTTCCTCATCTTGTCACCAATTAGAGCTACTCCTAAATCATTTCTAATAAACTTATTTCTAATTCTGTCTTTTCTAGTCTTGCCACTTATCGATCTCCACACCCTCTTCTCTGCTAAATTAATTTTTTGAACATATTTTTTGATTGCTCAACATTTTGCCCCACACAGCAATGCTGGTCTTATTACTGTCTTCTAGAATTTTTCTTTAGCCTAGTTTGTTTACAGTGCAATTCTATTTGCATTGATGTGAAGGTAGGGGAATGCAGATATTCTGAGCGCAAAATCTGATTTGTTTTTGTTTTAGCTTGTGTTACTTTGTTCGTTTACACGGCAGATGATGTAAAACTAAAACCTGAATCAAAGCAATGTAAAACCTAAAGCAAAGGGAACCAGAATTTGCGTCCTTGTCATTTACACTCTCATGCATTTTTACTAGTGTAAATGAAATTGCACTGCAAAAAAATGGAGCCTTAGTCTCCTTGGTACATTTAGTGGTCTAATCAACATGATAATACTTCATAGACTGCATGCAGGCTAAGATTTCTTTGTATCAATTGCCTTTTTTTGGGAAGAAAAAAATACATCTTTTTTAATAGAAGTATCTTTCTGTGGAGGAATGTCGTATAGAGAGAAATAATTTCCCTAATCCTTTTTTCTAGAAGTAAGATGTTTAATTATCATCTCATTTAAGAAGGCTGTCCGACAAAGAAGCAAAACATTTTTATTTGAAGTCAAATCCAGTGCCTTACTCTGGGGAGTGGGAAGGTTTAATTGCTCCAGGGGGAGAGAAGGTGAACATTCTCCAATTTGCAGATGATACGTTATGCTTTGTGGATGCCTCCCCCTCACAGGTGGAGTTAATCCTTGGGATCTTATTTTGGTTTGAAGTGATTTCTGGTCTTAAAGTCAATTGGAACAAGAGTCAAATTATCCCAGTGGGTCAGGTTTCCAATTTAGCAGATTGTGCAGGAATCTTGGCTTGTCAGATTGAGTCCCTTTCAGTCAAATATTTGGGGCTCCATCTGGGGGTGAGTGGTGGTTCTTCTGCAATTTGGGAGCCGGTAATTGAGAATGGAGAGAAAGCTGGCCTCTTGGAAGGAAAAATACCTTTCATTTGGGGGTCGGGTGACTTTGATTAAGAGTACTCTCTCCAATTTACCCACCTATTTCCTGTCCCTTTTCTCTATTCCAAACAATGTTGCAAATCAGCTTGAAAAGCTCCAAAGGAGTTTTCATTGGAGGGGTTGGGAGGAGGAGAAAAAAGTGCATTTGGTGAGTTGGGAGCTAGTCTGCCTCCCCAAAGATAAAGGGGGGTTAGGCATAAGGAAATTGAATTCTTTTAATTCTGCTCTCTTCTGCAAGTGGATTTGGGGATTTGTGGTAGAAAATGATGCCTGGTGAAGATCTCTCATTGGTAGCATGGTGTGGAATGGGGTGACTGGAGAACGAGGGACCCTCCTCCCAATTGGGGTAACTCTTTGTGGAAAGGGATAATGAAAAATTTTTCAGCTCTTGCTGCTGGGGTCTCAATTAAAGTTGGCAATGGTATTAGGACCAAATTCTGGAAGGACTCTTGGTGTTTGGATGAACCCCTTGCTGATTCCTTTCCTCTCCTCTTCCAGTGTGCTTCAAATGAGGCTTCAGTTGCAGAGTGTTATAGCGTTTCTGGTGGTTCAGTTCTTTGGTCTCCTTCATTTAGAAGGAACCTTTTTGATTGGGAGGTGGATGAGGTTTTGAATCTGTTGACCTGTCTTCAGAATCATGAGCTGGATTACAGTTCAGAGGATAAGTGGCTGTGGAAGTGGAACTCAATGGTGTGTTCTCTGTCAAATCTCCGGCTTCTAACCTCTGTAGTAGGGGTGTTCCTGATTTCCCTTGCCATCAAGTGTGGAATCCCACCAGCCCAACTAAATCTAACTTCCTAGTTTGGACTATGGCTCTTAATAAATGTCTTACTAGAGCAAACCTTGTGAGAAGGGGCATTCAGATTTTGGACCTGTCATGCAGCCTGTGTGGGAATAGTGCTGAATTCACTGACCATTTGTGCATTCACTGCCCGTTTTCTGCTCAGCTGTGGAGTCATTTCCTCAGTTCCATGAACTTAAGTTGGATCATGCCGAGGTCGGTTAAGGAGCTGTTGTGTTGCTGGAAGCTCATGGGTTTGAGTAAGAAAAAGAAGATTGTTTGGAAGATGATTCCTATTGCTGTGTTTTGGTCCATCTGGTCTGAGAGGAATAGAAGGATGTTCTGTAACAAGGCTCTAAGTCTGGAAGAGCTAATTCAGAAAACAGTGGGCAAACTGATGTCTTGGGTGTCTGTGTCTGAGGATTTCAGAAATTGTAATGTGTCAGCTGTTTTTCTTTCTAGTTCCTGGTGGAATGTGTAATTGCTGATTTGATCAATTGGCCTTTTCTGGGACTGATCTCAGCCTCCCTTGTGTATTTCCTATCTCAATAAATATTACTTTACCTTTTCCCAAAAAAATAAAATCCAGTGCCTTGGATGGGACCATCCTTTCCACTGTGGGGAGAAACATCTTAATGGAGAATAACCCATTTGTCTGATAAAGTTTATCAAACAAGTCTAACAATAAATCTTCTTCCTGATTTACATGGGACGCATCCACTGCTGTGTGGTATACATAATGTGGGGGAAATCTGTTGCAATAGTTGGCCATGCATCTCACAATGGATATCTTCCAAGCTCCCTCTCCCCCAATATTATTATTATCTAGTTGAGGGAATGCTTGAGGATCCTCTGCTATAGACGTGCTGCAAGACTTCTGTGCTGATTACTCTCCAAGCAATGACTCTATGAGAGCTTGTGAGGATTACTCTCCAATCTCCGTTATAACTTGCTTGGAGTAGTCTTATTCATCAGCCAGAAAGGCCTCAAGCCTTTCTTACAATTGCACCGTTTGCTTTTAACAATTGCACCTTGTGCTGATTTTTTTTTTTTTTTCAATTTTATGTTGTTAAGAGGTTGGATCCAAAACACTACTTGTCTACTATGAAATCAACTTGGACTCCCTTTCTTTTTTAGAAACCCTTTCCTTCCCTCAAGAAACACTCCTGAATCACAATGTTTTACCAATCATTCTCCATGCTTTACCTAATTGACAAGGGTGATCACAATGTTTTAAAAGCGCAAGGCGAAAAAAGGCGCAGGAGTCAATTTGTGCCTGAGGCACAAGGCACAAGGCGAGGCGCGTGCCTTTTTAAGCAAGGTGCAAAAATAGAAAAAGGCTAAAAATAAAAAAATAAAAAATGCCAAAAACATTCAAAAAAATGCAAAAAAATCAAAAAATTATTAAACATAATATTAATAAAAATATAAACTTTAATTTTAAAATAAATGTTTTAAAAAAACTATTATCTAATATTAAAATACATAAATATAACATGTAAAGCATATTCAGTGAGAATTTAAAAATAAAATCAAATATATAAAACATTTTCAAGCATATAAAACCCCCACACTTTTTTTTTCTCAATTGCATTACTTCAAGCAGCTAATGTGATGTAAAACATATTACATTCCTGATTCTACGAGCTGCCTTTGTACCATGCCCCTCAAGGCAAGCCCAAACAAGTCCACGTTAGGTCTTAAATTCTTAGTTCTCACACAAAAAATAATGGTTTTATAGTTTTAATTGCTTTTTAAGAAGACATTTTTTTAGGATGAATGAATGGACAACATTACCAAATAGGGGGTAATCATGGGCTGGGTTGGGCTTAGTACTAATGATAAGAATTGTTGCCCAAGCCTAGGTACGGCCCGGCCTAGCCTCCAAACCTAAAATATAAGTCTGGGCCGGGGTTGGGTTTTGGGCCTAACATCAAATAAATGGAAATTTAATTATTTATGTTTTTTTTTTGGAAAATTATATTATATGATGTACAATACATGAAAAATTGGTTAATTGGGTCCAAGCTTGGCCAGGCTTGGCTTGGCTTGGCTTTGGGCCTATGACACAAAAAATAAGGTATTGGGCCTTTTGGCTTCAACACATGCTTGTCTGTCCTTATATAGTGTAGAGAACACTGATGTGGGCCCCACTGCAGTGGTCCCCACTGTGTTCGTAGGACAGCATGTGTAGTTATTTGTTTCAGTTATAATAGTGTCAGTTTGAGTCAGTTTGTTAATTTAGTTGTTATTTATTTCAGCTTTTATTTACTTTATTTATTATGTAAGTACTAAGGGCAGATGTGTCCTTTCCATTGTGTACTAAACATAACCTATAAATAATAAGAAAGTGGCGGCGGTAGATTTGTCAGAATCTGTTCCTCCTTTCAATCACTTGTGTTCTCCTGTTTCTCTTCTATTCTCTCACTTTTCTTCTATTTTGTAAACCTAAAACCTATTAGGATTCAAGACTGATTACAGTCTTGATCTTCTACTTATAGATAAAGGGAAGGCCTTCTTTCCAACTCCTAGGGAATGTGTGGGACATAGGACAACGCTCACTATTGAGTGTTCTATTGTTGTTCCATGTCCCATACATTGCCTAGGAGTTAGAATGGAGGCATTTCCTTACTCTGAATAAGGATAAACAACTCTAGAGAACAAGTTTGGTTTGATTCATGGTCAACTTGTGAATACACACACACACACACACATTGCGGGCTAGGCTGAGTCGGGCTGAGAATGATATTGGTCCTACAGTTGGGATTTTAAATCTTTTTGAGTCAAGATATTGGTCCTACATTATTTTGACTAGTGAGCATTTGCATGGTAGGCATGACTTTGATATTGTGTTTGGTGGTAATACCTTATGTATGCATCTTATTCGATGATATGCAGTGGAACAAACAGAATATGAAAAATTGAAAGCATTAAACTTACCTGATATGCCATGTACATTAATTAGTGTGCACATCATATATGCATGTTGCTAATTAATACAATTTAATTTGGTAGAATCTTTTTAAGCATGGTTTCTGTTTTTATGCCTTGCATCAATGAAAAATATTGTACTCCAGTTGTATGGATCCATGGTCGCTAACACTTTCTTTTTGGTTTTGTCTTGTAACGACTTCTATATATGTTTTGCAGTTTTCAAGGAAAGACCAAAATCATTTGTTACTATTGTTTATCACTTTATCTCATAAAGTCTGGTTGAATCATTTCTTTCTTTCTTTTTATTTTGAAAAATCATCCAGGACAGAATATTTTTGATTTACAGACTATTTTATGTAACCTGCTTCCAATTGTATTTTAATCTGATCTTTTTTAGTGACAAAGTTGCAGAGAAATTTAAAATAAGAAATTCTAGCCTGATACTGGGATTTCTAATCTTTTGCAAATTGATTTATAAGAATTGTTACCTGATTATAGGATCATCTTCATTTTGTGCATAAAAAACTATGTTTTGCAGGCCCTATTGCAGATGAAAAATTGGTTTTTTCGTTTCCCAACAATCTTACAGGGATGTGAGTGCATTATTGAGATGCTTAGAGGACAGTATGCACATTCCCTTGGATGTTTTAGTGAAGCAGCACATCATTTTATTGAAGCAGCGAAGGTTTGTTGTTCCAGATCTCCATGCCTTTTCTGTTCGAAAAAATAATAATTCCAACTTTTAACAAACTTAGTATTTTGTATATGATTTACTTCTAATACTGTAATTGCTCTGATGTTTCAATTTCTGATATGTTTTATGCTTAACTGTAATTGCTCAGCGAGTGGAAGCCAGAAGATATAAATCTGCAAAATGAAAACCATAACTAGAAAAATAAACAAGAAATCACAACCAGAACAAGAAACAAAAACAATAGGCAAGAAGATAGGTTTATGTTGTTTTGATGGATAGCCTTCATTCAGGCAGCAACATGAATTAACAATGAACCATAAAAGAATACATTAAATTTTGGAGAGAACCCATGAACCATATAACAGAAACAATGTCTTAAATAAGCCCATCACAGTTCATTTGCTGGACAAGGCACATACTTAATGGCTTGCTGAAATTCTGGGGTGCAACGTGCAAAGCGGGGAACCTGGCTACTACTTATTCGGGTCTTCCCTTGGATGCCAAACAGTGTTTTAAAAGGCGTGGGAGGTGTATGCCTGGAGACACACCTCCAGGCGAGGTGCCCCCAAAACACCTGGGGCCAAAAAAACTCATTTGAAGGGTGCCCTTTCACAGTTTTTTTTTTTTTGAAGGATAAAAGGAAATTTCATTAAACTGAAAAAAGTAGTACATCTCAGAATGTTGGTTGTCTAGTTGACAAACCAACAATATAACAGAACTACACTGTAAAAGAGTCAAAATTACAAGGATTCAGTTCCTAAGTGCTTCAAATACCCCTGAAAACCATAAAATTTACAACTCCCCCTGACATCCCCAAAGCTTTAAGCTCCACCCAATCTCCTCCCTCTTCACCCCATACTTCGAAACATGATCCTCACTATCTCCCTCTTCCTTCCCTCATAACATTCCAACTGAGAATCCTCAACTTCCTCATGGACAACATCCTCAATCTGGATGGTTAGAACGTTGGAAACAATACAACATTCTTCTCATTTTGTTGATTCTCCTTGGTTAAACTTAGACTTTTAAAGTTTGTAAATATTAAAATCTTGGATAAGAATGGGTGACAAAGAATTTTGTATGCCAAGGGAAAATTAACTCTGAGAACTAACTTATTGGATGATGACTTATTTTTCAGCTTACACAGAGCAAATCAATGCAAGCAATGTGCCATGTATATGCAGCTATCTCTTACATCTGTATTGGTGATGCGGAATCATCCTCCCAGGTCTTTTTTCTTCTTTTACAGTTAGAAACTTGTTTTTATCTTAGTGCTTCTTTTTATCCCTGATGCAGTTATTCTATTTTGACTTCGAGTATATTTGATTGTGGAATGTTTTTATGCTGTTTGCAGGCACTTGGTTTAATTGGACCAGTTTACAGAATCATGGATTCTTTTGTTGGAGTGCGAGAAAAAACTTGTGTCCTTTTTGCGTATGGCCTTCTATTGATGAAACAGCATAATCTACAAGAAGCAAGGTAGATATTGTCGTTTAACCCTTTCTGTCACACGGATGGAGGCCATTTTGAAAGACGTTAGTGTAGCATGACCAGTACATTCTACAAAAACATCCTGTTAAATTTAGCAATTCTGGCATTTTTATTTTTGACTGAGGCCTTAATGAATACTTCTTAAACCTAACCAATATACTACTCAATACAGAATTAGATTGGCCAGTGGCTTGCGGATCACACATCAACAATTGGGGAATATTCAACTTGTTTCACAGTATTTAACAATTCTTGGTAGTTTGGCTCTTGCATTGCGTGACACTGGACAAGCCAGAGAGATTCTAAAATCTTCTTTGACATTAGCAAAGACACTTTATGATATTCCAACCCAGATGTGGGTGCTGTCAGTCTTAACAGGTAAACATCCTTAAGCTTGCTCGTGTCAGTGGCTACTGGAGTCTTGCTGGTGTCTGTATAATAGGAAAATTCCTGATCATACCTGTTATGTACATAATACCGGTAATGTCTGGAATCTTCATTTTAACAAAGCCTCTATGTAGGAGCCAGTGTCATCAATGGCACCCATGGTGCTCTCCATGGGATATTTTGAGACTTGGCCCTGCACGATGCCACAAAATGACCATGGCAAGGAGACTTCAATATGGTACTAATCATTGGTACCATGGAAGGTGTTGTGGCCTTTGCAAGAGATATGTTGGAGTTCTCTAAATAATTGTTTTTAATGTATATTTGCACCATGCGAATAGCCTTTACACAACATACTTGTATTGTCTGAAAGCAGAGTTATCACAAAACAAACTTGTATTGTCCAAAAACAGTCATGTAAGTAGATAAACCTACACTATTTGTACTGTTTGCACAGATAACAAATTATCATTGCACATGCCTTTTGGTTGTTTCTCTATTGTCATGCTCACCTCCTTTTATTTGCAATTTATTGGTATGATATGTTCCATCAGTTTGGAGAGTGTTGAATTGATAGTTATGTCACCAAATTGAGTTGGAATTAGGATCCACAGTTCACTGACCTAGTGGATTATCTGCTGCAGCTTTTTTTTTTTTTGGCTTTTTAATAGAGCTGGCTGAGTTGAAATTAGGACACTCAGGTTAGAGTAAAGGTCTTAACTCTTCTTGTTGCAGCTTTGTATCAAGAACTGGGTGAAAGAGGAAATGAAATGGAGAACTCTGAATATGAAAGGAAAAAGTCAGATGATCTACACAAAAGACTTGCAGATGCTCGGTCATCTATACATCATATTGAATTGGTAAGCACAACTATTTCAATTGGCTTCTTTATTTAGTTAGTTCAAGCAGAAAAAATCAGGTACTGACTTATTTTCTTGGAGATTAGGCTGGATCTTGTCTCATTATGACTTTATTATAGAGCAAATCAAGAAAGGAAAAGAAAAGAAATTTGTTAGGAAACACGTAGAGAAATATGGTTAGTTTTTCAAAAGGTTAGCAATTTTGGCTGTGTTTTTGATAAATAGAAAGCATATCTAGTGAAAGGAGAAAGCCATCAATGATGTCATAGAAGCAGCAGTAAAAATTTATTTCGTAAGAATGTTCCTGTCATTTCAAGAGTACTTTGTGGCTTTGTCCTTTCACTAGATGTTATAGTACATGCCAATATCACTACTATGTAATCTATCAAAAGAAAATTACTACTATGTAAATTGTGACAATATGTAATAAGGGCATGCCCAATTTACTAAACCTAGGACCACCTCATGTTGCATGGAAATTGGTATTACCATATTAGTGTTGAAATCTAACCCAAGCACGAGGTGCAGTGCAGGACTCAGTCAGCCTGAAAATATAGGATTTAAGAATATGGTAGATAAAATTGAACTTTTTATGTTAGTAGAAATATGCTGAATTAAAAAAATATGAAAGAAAAGTAGTTTCTTGAAGAGAGAAGGAAGAGAGAAGGAGAAGAAGAGAAGAAGAGAAGTTGAAAAGAAAAGAGAGCAATAATCTGGCCGCCCCCTTCACTTATTATTTATACAGCAGTCGACCCACCATTCTTTGATATCTCTCCACATCCTTTACCAACTCACCATCCACACCATTAATTCTGTGATTTGGATCAATAGGAGTGTCTGCTAGTTTGGTCCCCAGCTTCCCAATCTCCCGTAGTAGGTCAAGTACATACTTTCTCTGTGAAATAAAGATCACATGCTTGGATCTTGCAACTTCAATCCCTAAGAAGTATTTGAGCTCACCAAGATCTTTGGTCTCAAATTCTTGCTGCAATGATTTTTGAGATAATCAATCTCCTCTAGATCATTTCCTGTCACCACTATATCATCCACATACACAATCAGAATTGACACCAGAGCATCTCTCCTCTTCACAAAGAGGGTGTGATCAGACTGTGTCTGTGTGTATCCAAAATGGATGAGTACCCCTCTGAACCTATCAAACCAAGCCCTAGGGGATTGTTTCAGTCCATACAGAGATTTTTTGAGTCTGCACACCTTTCCTTTACCAACATTTTCATAAAAGCCTGCTGGAATGCCCATATATACCTCCTCCTGTGAATCACCATTGAGTAAAGCATTTTTGACATCAAGCTGGAACAAGGGCCATGAATAGGTGGTTGCTAGAGATAAAAGGATACGAACTGAACTCATCTTAGCTACTGGTGCAAAGGTTTCCAGATAATCAACACTATAGGTCTGAGTACCCTTTTGCTACCAACTTTGCCTTGTACCTCTCTATCTTGCCATCGGCCTTATACTTCATTGTGAATACCCATCTACATCTAACTGTCTCCTTGTCTGGGGGGAGATCAACTATTTCCCAAGTTTGGTTTTTGACCAAAGCATCCATCTCATCTTGCATGGCTGTTTTCCACTCAGGTTTGGAGAGGGCCTCAGTAACATTCCTAGGTATAGACACAGAATCTAGGGAAGAAAGAAAAGCACAGTAGGAGGGTGATAAGGCACTGTAGGAAAGATGGTGTGAAATGCAGTGGGTTGTACACTTTCTCTTCCCCTTACGAAGTGCAATGGGAAGATCAAGGTCAGTGGGATTAGCTGCAACAATGGTGTTAGGGACAAAAACATTATCATCATAAAACATAATAGGCTCGGCCTCAAGAGGAATACCTGGAACTGTATCTGCCGAATCTGGAGTTTCAAAAGGGCTGACAGAGAGTGGTGTGGGTTGAGGATGTGTGGAGTCAGCCATCATCTGTCGGCGCTGATATTTCTGTGAGACTACCCGTAGTGGCTCAGGTAATGAAACTAGAGGTCCAGGTGCTGGTTGAACTGATGCAGATGCTGGTTGAACTGATGGAGGCACCAAAGAAACAGGAAGAGGAACAAATTGTGAGTTCTCCCCAAAACTCTCCCCCTAAGGAGAACCACTCGAGAAGAAGGTGGATTCAAAAAAGGTAGCATCCATAGTGACAAATCTGTTCCTCGACACTGGGTCATAACAGCAATACCCCTTTTGGTTCTGAGCATACCCAAGAAAAACACATTTCTTGGCCTTAGGATCCAATTTCTTGCGATGAGGGCCAAGAATGTGAACAAAAGAAACACAACCAAAAACTCTCAGAGGTATATGAAATATCTC